CTTAACACAACCAACAATTAACAATATAGCACATTTCTGACTTCCATTTAAGCAATATTCATGCACAAATAGTTTTCGAAGTGTATGGTTATGTTTTGACTATAATTTTAATTTTAAACTATTTTAAAATGAAAACATAGAATATGAAAAAATAATAGTCTACTAATACACAGAGGAAGAATTATGCTGAATCTTGTATTGTGCTAAATATTTCTGACATGGACAAAAAATGATTCCTACCTTTTTGTATTTTTTAATACAATTTTAATCACTGAATTATATACTTTGCATACAATAAGATTAAGTTATTTTATAGTCGATCATAGCAAGACACTAAAAGGCAAAGCATGTAATATACATATACTATGGTTTTCTCTTACTCATAGTTATGCTTCTTTCAAATGGACTCAGACTACCACATCACACTCAGCTCTGGACTTATCATTGAGTAGCCTCCCACCAGTTTTAGGCCTAAGAAAAGGCAGTAATAGGTCATCTAACTAAACTCCTGAGAGTCATTGGGCAGGTAGGAAATAATTGCTTTTTAGGTAGAAAGTACTAGTAGGACAAATCCAAGTAAAAGGGTTGACTATGTTGCAGAAAGTAAAATTACTCTTAACTCTTTTCAGAAATTTCACTACAAGGTGCCATGGTGTCAATCAGAGTGAACAAAATTTGTTAAGATACCAAACACAAGATATTTCTATCCCCACAATCTAAAATACAGGGTTTCAAGTAACAAGATCATCTTCTGACAAACATCCTATAATTCCAAAAACTGTCTTTTGCTTCTAAACAAATAACAATTACTTTCTCAAACTGTAAATATTTAAGCAATCCAACCTAATGACGTCTACTCAAATATATTTGTCAATGACAATGGATAAAAATGAGCAATAATGTATGTGAATCAAACAGGAACAACTCGTTACTGCCATAGTATAAGAAGTAGAGATATTTTACTTCCCCTTTAATGCCATTTTTTCTTTAGTGACTGTACAATATTCTTTGTCTCCTAGCACTTCCTTTGAAGTTATGAGCTAAGCAGTTTCTGCAGAGAAAATATACTCCTTCCCCCATCTGCCCCTAACCTTATTCATATTAGAGATACTTTGGAAATAATTTGTAGAGTAAGGAAACTAATGGGAAACCATGGACATTTCACAACCACAAATGATTAGCTCTTACATCAGACAATTCCCAGACACATCAAAGTGAGATGGTAAGCTTTAGCAAATAAAAATGCAGGACACCCAGTTAAGTTTAAATTTCAGATAATAATTTCTTTAATATAAATATGTCCCAAACATTGCATGGAGTGCACTAAAATATTACTTTGTACTAAAAAATTATTCATTATACAAAAAATTATTCACTAAATAAATTTAGTTTATCATAGTGCACTAAAATTATTTTGTACTAAAAAATTATTCACTGTTTATCTGAAGTTCAAATTTAACTGGACATCCTGCATTTTATCTGACAATCCTCCACAAGGACATTTTGTAGTAGCAATGTCTTTCTCTCTTACTAGACTGTGTGTTCCTTTATGGTAGGGATGGAGTAATTCATCCTTGAACAGTCAGCCCCTAAAGCAATGTCTGATACATAATGGATATACAATAAAAATGTATTGAATGAATGAATGAATGTAAAGGGTGAATTTTAAAGAACTGATATAGATAGATGTAAATATTTACTTTGTAGCTTATTTTGTTGGCATAGCTTGACAAAATAGCTATTACTGGTACTATTAAGAGTGGAGCCAGAGTTTCAGCCCCACCAGGGTTACCCCTTTGGCCAACTGGTATGAGAAACTGCACACCTGCTATTCTCTTTCTGGCTACAGCTGTGGCTGTGCAGTAAATGGAAATAGACACAACCTTCTTTTTGTGTGTGTGACCTCTGGATGCCCAGCTGAAACTTAGGTTACAGTTGAAGAAACCACAGCTCTAGTCGAAAACTGAGATGAAGACCCACTAGAAGATCCACATCTTCATTTGAATATTGGGGAATTAAGGAGCTTATGGTGAACAGTGAAGAACTCAACAAGTCTCCCATGAATTGCCACTGGCTGATTCTGGACACAAGTCACTCAAAAATCCCAGATGAGACCCCCAAAAAGCAAGATGTCTATTCAGCTATGCAACAATCATATTCGTTGTATCCTGGTTTGTTATTGTTTGGGGGGGAAGAAAGTATTGTCCCAGGAATGTGCAGAACTCTGCATGTAAATCCAAACTCTCAGGACTGAAAAGTGATTGACATGATAGAGCATAACGTAAATAAACTTTACACACATGCACACACACACACAGAAAATAAATATAAAATATATTTTTAAAAAATACAAATACGTTAAAAACTTACAGAATATATGTCTTTATATCTATTGATATATGGATAGATAGGTAGATAAAAAGATAAATTTAGACTCTGAATGAAACCATGTGGTTTTACAGATTTATAACTTTAACTCACAATGGCTAATGCATATTAACTACAATGTGTCATATCTCAGAAATGATCATGATCCCCCGTAAAATGGTGAAATGTGAGATCCAATATGTTTTTTTTGTTCCCGCCCTTCTGATCTTTTCTCCCACACCTGGACTGTTGCAATGACCTAATATTCTAAGGACCTGAACCTCTGAGCTTCCCACTCCACCACCCTCCCTGGGACTATCAGATCCACATTGGCTGGTCCTCCAAGTCCATTTTCCATTGTTGTCACTCGGTCACATAAAATTGGTTGCCATTCCTCCCCTTGTACAAACCTTAATAGCAACTTGACTACTCCCCAAGGTGACTTTTGTGCCTTCCCAGGGAAATAACAATCTTTTAAAATATGGGAATGCAATTAGCAGAAACCACAGGATCTACCTGCCCTTTTTACCAGGGTAACCTTGATTTCAGCAGTGCCTTTGTTTTGTGATCTAACTCAAAAGAGTGACTAGTGATGGACTTTTTGACCAAGTAAGGGGAGTTAGGAGGATATTTGTTATTGTTGGATTCTTCTGGCAGGCTGCTGGGGCAGACCTGATATTTGAGACCTCCTGGAACACCTTACATGTCCCAGAGCAAACCTACCTTCTAAACAGCTGATGTTCTTGGAAGTTTCTTCTGTGGTTCTTTTTTGCTTATTACTTCAGGTACAAGCTCCTCCATGAGGAAATCAATGTTTCCCTTAGTCTGACTCTACTCAATCAGCTCCAATTCAATTCACACTGTTTTTATAGTTCATGACATCTGAGTTTTATTTCCATCTCCACCTCCTTGCACATCAATTTTTTTTCCTGGCTAGTCCTCCTCCATTAACTACACATCTCTAGGAAACATTCTCTGCCTACTCCAGCTCATGTTAAACTATAAGCTCTAAGAGCGTTTCTAGTTTATATCTACACTTCTTGCTAATGCTAGCAAAAATTTTCTTCCTAGGTGGAAACTCACATGAGCAAACATCAATCCCCATTATAACTTTTACAAAAGTTACAGCATTTTTATACTAATTCATGGGAAAAACAAGATCAAGGGTCAATTCCTTAATACTCATATGTACTCCTGAATAAACATTCCAGATAGATTTGAAATTTATTACATGGGTGCAATCAATTCCTGAAGCAACAGCAAATGGCATCATTAGCTCTGCACATTTAAACTAGTGTTCAGAGGCTGTGTATATTAGTGGGAATTGGTAGTAATACTCAAAATACATTCAGAACTCAATTTTGTATGTGATAAGCTTTCTTTAAATATTTAAGCTGAAATACTATTTTAGAACCAAGAACAGGACACAGGAGTACACACCGTACGGATAACCTACATCAAATGGTTCCTAAGAATACAAGGGATGATTCCAGAACTTGACTTTCCATGCCTTAGAGTGGATTCCTTCCTAAAAGGCTCCAAATTGGGTCTCACATAAGTAGAAAAACATACTTATGCCTAGAGGATATATAAATGAAAAGCTTGGAAAAGCACACGAATTTTCAGGGCTTTGCGCAGTCAGGCTCGTGGAGGATACCAGTTGCCTTATCTTTTTCATTTAGGCTTCAGATTAATTCAACAAACATTTAGGGTACACCTACTGACTATTTTTGCCTTTGTGCTAGGAGTTGGGTTAGAACAATAAATAAAGCAAACTTCCTGCCATCAAGGAGTTCAGTCTAGTTAGAGAGACCACCATAGAAATAAGCATATACGGCGTGACATTTACAGCCCCGAGGCAGAACTCATGTATTATAGTTCTTTTGTACATCCTTCAATCACGCAATTAAAAAATCTTTCCGTACGACCTTGTGCGGGGAGGCACTCGGGTAGTGCCGTCTGGGAGGAACATGACAGAGTTGAAAGTTCCTCCACGCAGCTGTGCACAGCACGACAGTTTGATCGGAGCCTGAGGCGGGGGCAGGGTCTCACTGGTCACAGTCAGGGCCGAAGATTATTTGCAGTCAACTGCCCTAGAGGTAATGGGGTTTGGAACTACTTTGGTGATTTGGTAAAAAGAAAGAAAACGGAGAGGGGAACCCAGCTTACCCAGGAGCCCCTACCACTTGCTGACTGGACCCACTTAGCATCTGCAGGAAGGACAACAATAAAATGAAAAAACATTTCCAGGGGTGAACCCCAAAGGTCAGTCTCTGGCTGTGCGGAACAATGGGGGTCTGGCCTCCTCTTCTCTTCCAAAAGGGTGAAGGAGTCTTAATGAAGAGACATTTTCTCCGCGAAGATTCTAAACCCCAGCAGGTTCCACTAAACTCCAGGGCAGCGAAGCCACCGGCAGGGACCGGGGGCGGGGGGGGGGGGGGGGAGAGTGGAATGGTGGGTGGAGGGGTGTCGCTATGTAAAACGCTACTCTGGGACCCGGACCCTGAGCGACAACCGCGTCCCCGCGTCCCTCCGCCCGCCGCGCGCGACCGCGGGCCGGCTGCACGCTCCCAGAGGCGCGGTTGCTGCGCCCCCGCCCCCGCCGAGCCGCGGCGCGGCGCGCACACCCGGGCCGGAGCGCGCGCCCGGCACACAGGCACCGCTGCGCTCCGAGCGGTCAGACCTCGGCCGCAGCCGGCAGAGGAGACCAACTCCCGCGCGCCCGCCGGCGTGCGCCTCGGCTAGCGGCTCCCGGTTCCCGCGACCACCGCGCGTCCTGCTTCCGATTATTCCCGTCTCCCTCTCAGTCTCTCTGCTGGCGCTCGCTCGCTCGCTCTCTTTTTCAGACACACTCACACACGCACACACACACACAATCTCACAGCAATCTATACACTGGAGGAAAAAACACTTCCTTCGCGCCCCCTCCCTGTCCACCCCAAGAAGCTGAGCAGCCGCGTGGCGGGGGATCCCCGGACCGTCTGGAAATGCTAATCCTAAAGCGCTTCCTCGCTTGTATCCAGCTCCTCTGTGTTTGCCGCCTGGGTGAGTGATCAGACCTCAGTGGGGTTTCATCTCCGGGATCGTTTGGGACACGGTGGGGGGATTTGAGAGCATTAGGTACTTGCTACCGCCGCCGCCATCTAGCAAGGAGGGAAAAGGCGTGGTGGCCTGGGGATCCCACGAGGTTGGCGACGCCGCGAAGGGTGTCAGCGGCGTGGGAGGATGCACCCCCTTCCCACCTCGCACCTCCACCACCTTCCATCCGCCCGCGGGGAGCTCGGCCAGAAGGGAGAGGCTTGCCATTCTCGGTTGCTGTCCACACAGCTCTTGTGTCTCCTGTTCCGCAAAGTGTGAAAAGAGCCTTTTAGGTACACATAAGAAGAGAAATACAACCAAGGTGCGGGGCTACGTATTAGATAGTGTTTTTGCTTTTAGATTCATTATGGGCTTGAATGAAAAATACACGTGCCCGATGCGAGTTACACACACACACACACACACTCCCAAGAGGTAGTAACAGGAACAAGCACCAACCTGACTTTTCAGTGTTTTCCAGTACTTTTAATTTAGTCACATTCAAGTCTGGGCAGTTTCGTTAAAAAAAAAAAAGTTTCAATCAAAATTTCTATCAACGTTCTGCCAGCTGCTGCCAAAGTCACAGGGAAGCTGCAGGTTGGTGTATTTATTCATGGATCATCTTTCATCCACCACTTTCCAGGTTTCACATTCGCTACTGAAATTCCACTTTGAAACAGCCAGTTAGAATTATTTACCTGGGATGCAGATTCCAGTGTTCCAGTCATTTTCCAGATGAATTGTAATATTGGATTTTTATATTTCATTTTAAAAAAAATCTTTTTTCCTTCATGAAGATTTTCTATTACGATGGACTATAATAGGTTTGGAGGTATTAACCTGAAAGTTAGAAGATGTACTTGAACCTGTGAATACACATATTTTACTCTTTTCAGTTCGAGGATCCCAATTTTTTTAAATTTTAGATTATTCATTGTAGATATTAACCTACATTTTTATTCAATATAGATGGTGCTGCTCTTGGCACAGTAACCTTTACAAGGAGAAATCATTTCTTGTTCTAACTAATGAGAGTTACATTTCAAATATGGTGATAATTGCCAACAGCCCCCAGATAATGGACATAATTTAAATTCTGAAAGCTTTACAAAAATACTCTGGGGGTGATGTGATACACAAGGTTGACATTTAAGACTAGCAGGAGAATCTGGTCCTGGTTTTCTCTCAAACCACAGAGTTGAATCTGGAGGGGGGGTGGGGAAGAAATTTTTTGAAAGTGCTGTGCTCATTAAATACACACCTGTTGAATTTGCATTTCTATTACAGATCTGCTTTAACAAGAAAGCCAGATCCTTTTGGTACTTAGATTATTATTTAAAATAAATCTCATTGTATGGGGTGCCTGGGTGGTTCAGTTGTTAAGCATCTGCCTTCGGTTCAGGTCATGGTCCCAGGGTCCTGGGATCGAGCCCCATATCGGGCTCCCTGCTCAGGCAGGAAACCTGCTTCTCCCTCTCCCACTCCCCCGCTTGTGTTCCCTCTCCTGCTGTGTCTCGCTCTGTCAAATAAATAAAATCTTTAAAAAATAAGTAAGTAAAAAATAAATCTCACTGTAGTACAGAGATAAACCAGAGAATATTGCTTTGTATGCCATCAAAACCAGTACTTTGAATATATTGTGAATTTTTAAAAATTGAGTTATAATTTGCATAGCACACAGTTCATCGTTTTCAAGTGTACAATTCAGTGGGTTTTAATATACTGACAAAGTTGTACAACCATCACCCACTATCTAATTACAGAGCATTTTAATCACCCGCAAAAAAACTAGTAACAGTCATCCCTTATTCTCTCTGACCCTAGCCCTGGCAATCGCTAAGCTACTTTCTCTTTTTGTAGATTGGCCTATTGAGCATTTCATAGAAATAGAATCATACAATATGTGGCCTTTGGTATCTGACTTCGTTCACTTAGCATAATGTTTTCAGAATTCATCCGTGTTGTAACCTGTATCAGTACTTCATTCCTTTTTGTGGCTGAATGATATTCCATTCCAGTATTCCGTGGTTTGCAAAGGCTTATCTCTATAAAGCATTATTTATAACCTATTATTTTTGGTTATACAGATTTTGATTTGTTGGATGTTTTCTTTAATTGATGATGTAAAATTTAACTGTAAAGAATCGGAGGGGGAGACGAACCATGAGAGAGGATGGACTCTGAAAAAGAAACAGGGTTCTAGAGGGGAGGGGGGTGGGAGGATGGGTTAGCGTGGTGATGGGTATTAAAGAGGACACATTCTGCATGGAGCACTGGGTGTTATGCACAAACAATGAATCATGGAACACTACATCTAAAACTAATGATGTAATGTATGGTGATTAACATAACAATAAAAAAATTTTTTAAATTTAACTGTAAAGAATTAAATTAATTCTTTAAGAGTATTATAAGTTTATGTAATATTGAATGTAAGCCTGTATTAGAACTCAAAATGTGCTTGTGTGTGTGTGTGTGTGTGTGTGTGTGTGTGTGGTGAGACAGGTGACAACTTTTGTATCCCTTTCCATTTTAACAAAGTTGACCTCTTACATTGTTGCCCACATGTTGACCTACAGACCTTGTCAACCTCAAATCAGATGAATATCTTGATTTCAGGGTAATATGTTTTGAAACACTGAAGCATATTATCTGCAAATAAAATATGCAGCCTCCATTTCAATTATTTTTCCCTCAACAACTACTGTAGTATTTGTAGATATATTTATTGCTCATCTTTAGTGTCCTTGGAGCCAGTGATGTGCCCTGGCACAGGTAATAAATGCTCAGGAAAGTATCAACTGAGAGGTGCTGTGTAGGATGACCACTCCAATACAGTTTGAATGAATGTGAGGCTGCCATTCTTACTATTATCCTAGAACAAGTTGTAACATTCACTAAGGTGTTCGTTGTTAACAATTAAGAATGAGTTAGCAACTAAGGACTTTACCACTTTCTGTTTAAAATGCCTTGATTTTTTTTTTTTAAAGATTTTATTTATTTGTCAGAGAGAGAGAGAGCGCGCGAGAGAGCGTGCGCAAGCAGGGGGAGGGGCAGGCAGAGCCTGAAGTAGGCTCCCCACTGAGCAAGGAGTCAGATGTAGGACTGGATGCCAGGACCCTGGGATCATGACCTGAGCCGAAGGCAGAGGCTTAACCGACTGAGCCACCCAGGCATCCCTAAAATGTCCTGATGTTTTGAACTGGACATGTAGACCAATTGTTTCTTTCAAATAACTCTCCAAACAGAAAAATAGTATCATTAAATTATTTGTACTGAAACAAATCCTTTCTTTCCAAATTAATACTGGGGAAACTGGAAACTATAGAGGAACAAACTTGGGAGTTTTTTTGTGGGTGGGGATTAAATATATTTGTGGGTTCATCTATTTAGGTAATTCTATCAAGATTGGCCTGTGGCCTCAACACTCTTTGCCAGAACTAGCTAGATCATGGTTCTCACACTTAAGTAAGCATCAGAATCACCAGGAGAACTTATTAAAACACGGATTTAGGAGCCCAGTCCAAACAGCTTCTGATTCAGTAGGTCTGGGGGTGGGGGCCTGAGAATCTCATTTTCTAACAAATTCCTAGGATATGGTGATGTTGTTGGTCCAAGTCCATACTTTGACAACCACTGAGCTAGTTTGACATTTAAATGTTAGCATAGTTTCTGGATTATTAACAAGTTTTTATGGTGGACTTGATTTCTGATACCCAACTTAATAATATTTTTAAAAATTACATGAGTTAGACAACATTGAATGTTATTCAGCTGAAGGAGATGCTTAATCAGAGAGGCAGAAATTGAAGATGACTCCAGGATAATTCCCTAAGTGAATCCGGACCTTCTCTAGAATAATTAAGAGGTTTTCTACTAGGTGGAGAACTACTATAATGGCATCACAACTCTGTCATTATTTATTCTTGACCCATTGAACAGGTAATAGGACAAACTGCAGTGGCTTTCCTGTAAGGAGGCTTAATTATGAGTCATAGAGGAGAGGTAGTAGGTGTTTTAAGAGCTTCTAAGGAACAGTTTCTCTCAACTAATGAGAATTCAGGATCTTTGAATGAAGTGAGTTACAGCTTTGCAAGGAACACTAAATTCAAGAGTTTAAACATTATTGTGAAATACGTAATGAATCAGATTCTGAACTTTTAGGTCATATCTTATGGCTTTAAGGAACACATTAACTACAAATTATACCCAATTCCTTTGCAAGAATGAATTGCCTAATTTATCCTGAGTATGGAAGCAGTAGAATCCAAAATGTTGTGACTCTCAGCTTGGTCTATTTATTCTCTGAAAACAAATCGTAACCAGGAATAGAAAATATTCATGCTTTTTCTCCCCAAATAATAACTAGTCTCCATTCAGAAAATTAATTACTTTTGATTTGCAGAGTAGCAGTTTTCTTTATTTCATCTCTCTCTCCTTTTTATGGAGACTGTACTTGCTTTCACTCAGGGAAGTTTGCCAGGATAAATCCTTTCATTGACGAATTCATTTATGCTCTTATGTCTGCACTAGATATTTGGGAACTTGCTTAAAATTTTATGTTGTGGGAATTTTGCTTCTGGCAAAAATTCAGGTTTTTCTGGAAACATGAGCTACATTTCCCCATTCCCCTTACTCCAACGAGCTTTGAGTTCCGTCTAACCTGGTAGCTGCGCTTGACCACCATTTGCCAACCGTTCAGACTATAGTATGGAAATGGAACCCCGTCATTCAAAACCAGGGGATCTCCAAAGAAGGGCTTGATTAAGAAGATGAGCTTGTGTTTTATTTCCATTTACCATCTACTCAGTGTTTGCCAGGTACTGAATATTTTATGTACATTTTTCTCATTTCATTCTCCCCCAAACTGTTGGAGGTAGGTGTTTTTATTTTACACATTTTATAGCTAAGGAAAGTGAAACACAGAAAAGCCAAATGACTTACCCAATTTCACACAGCCTGCATTA